TAATCAATCTAAGAAATTAGTCATATTAATTAATAAAAATACATTTTTTTTTATATTTTCGATCAAATTTTACCAATTAAGAATAAAATATCAGCTAAACTTACATACAATTTTAAAATAAAAATACTCAATAATAATATATGTTGGTATAACCAATATTTAATGTGGATGCATTTAAATGTCTGTCTATAAAAAAAAAAGCAAAAAATAAACTACAAGAACTTCCTATTCAAATTTATTTTCAACAAAGATTTAATAATTACCTTCTATAAGAATATGCTTGTAATTTAAAAACGTGTACATACGAATTTTCTAAGGTCAAACTATTTTTATGGGCGGTCAAGTTATAGCAACGTCTATGAAGCACAAATAAACACACTGTCTATAATTTTTGTAATGATAACGTTTACAAGTACTCAGTATATTTCACATTCAAATTTTAAATTCAAATCATAATAATTATTGGATTTAAGATGACCATAAAACATATAAAATTTTATGAATTTTAATTTCTTGTGTTTTAACAGTTATTAGGTAGTTATATTTTTTAATCATAATAATGTTAAATATTTAGATATTAAAAATGAAATAACACAACATTTTAGTGTGTAAAGAAACAATATATCTGTTATATAATCTGCAGCTAAAACTAAAGTAAGTATGTTCTTGAACTGCTTATTATCAGTAAAATAAATAAATATTAACAATGTAACTTATATGATTTTTCAAGAACGAAACACTAAAATTATTAAGTATAAAAATACTATTACAACGAAAAAACTCCATTTAAATAGTTAGGCATTATGTTAGGTATTATATAAAGATCAGGTGGATATATAACATTTAAATACATGTTAAGTATTAATATTGTACTATATAATCGTATCCAACAATATTTTAACTGCAGGTAAATTAACTCGTTGAAATAAAATGTCTTTACAGAAAAACAGTTTATAATATACTGAATAATGCTACGGAAAATAATAACGAAAACTTTATTTAACAACTTTTAATATTTCGGTGAGTATTTAAAATAAAACTTAACAGACCAACACATTTTATTATTTAACGCGAGCTCGCACAGACATTTGAAACCAATAAACCAAAGAATGCGAGTAGATAATAAACTCGACAGTGTTAGAATCCTCAATTGCATCCCTACATCTATATTTAGGATATGTATTTATTGTGAACATTTTCTGACTTAAAATACAACTATACTCTAATATAATATAAGTACACTCATATCGATTCACTGCCGACAGAAATTCGGTTTCGATGAGATAGCTGTATACTTGAAATTGTGCATTATTGTTAGTACATGTACAAACAGAAACAATAAAGCAGCCAAAATTGTTATCAGGACGTTATATATTGAATGGAAGTAATAAAACAGAGTTATATTATCTTAAAATTATAAATAAGTATCTAAATTATATAATGATTTATTTAATCATGCGGAAATAAGAATAAAAACGCATTATAATAGTGTCAATGGAGCACATTAATTTATAAAAATAAATCGATGGTCTCGAGTAGATAAGATTTAATTAAATTTATCTGTAAGAAATTAAGATGTTTTTTTTATTTTAAAGTAGTTTATTTTTCACAAAACTCACTAAAAAATAGTATTTTTTATCCCTGAGCAGTTTCGACATTTTTGCTTACTCAGTCCTTCTCAAGCCGTGAAAATATTAGTTTTCTTTTTGCTCAACTATACCTTAAGTCTAAAGTCCCAAAACTCGGTCACAGATATACTTAAAATTTATAACACATAATTCTACAGGGTTTTATTTTTTAATGAAATACACTCACTCAATACTTTTTTAAAATACCAAAAATATTAAGTAAAAGCTATTTTATACGTGAAACAATAAATACATTAAATCTATCTAAAAAAAAACACCTCAGAAAAATCAAGATAAACGACCGATTTATATATATTTCATATATAAACGAAAAATGTTCAACTTTATTTAATAATGTGATTTTCTATCATATTTAGTTACCAAAAGATAAATGTTTAATACAGTAAGTGCAAGAGTTATGAACCTTATTCTAGCGTTAACATAATATATATATATATCAAACAAAAAGGTTTCACTAACAAAAATATAATTCTTAAATAATTCTAGATATGGATAAATTTAAATACATTTACCAAATGTTATTATAATAATAAAGTGTACAGACTACTCAAACTGCCACCATCACACACTAAAATTTAGAAACACGTTTAATTTTTCAAGTGCCATCGCTGCCAAACTTCATATTATATCATCAGCTACCTATTATAGTCAACATCTATTATACGATATTAATAATAACATAGAACAATATAATTGATTTTCTTAAAGTTCGTAACTAAGAAATTATAGATACGTTGTAAATATTATTAAACATAGTGACATTATATTTTGTATAAACATTTCTGTTTAGTAGAAGATCTATTCTTATGATTTAGATTAGAGAATAATTAGAATATCATTATAAAATCTACAGATATTAAAAATATGTTTAGTAGACACCCAAATTAAACCTCGACTAATATGCATCATTCAACTAAATGATTGAAAATCTTAGACGACACATATTAAAAAAACTTTGAAGTAAAATATAAATTTCAATAAATTTATTTCATTAGATATATAGGTACATATTAAATACTAAACATACAAATTGTAAAACACAATAGATTTCACAAAATATATTATGATAAAAACAAATATTAACATTTTATAAAATACATGATAATCTGGTCACTTAATTTGTCGTTTGACAGAAACAATAATGAAAAATCATAAAATTAAATTATTTTAATAAAAAAAATCAAAAATAATGATGTTCACTATTAATTTAAATTTAATTATTTTATAATACGTAGGATCGTTATTATTCCTTACAAAAATATGTCACATTTTGATAGTGCATACGTATATATTAAATTTAAATGTACATAAATACGAAATAATACACAAAACCATATGACTTAAGAAGTATTTTAATTATTTCAATAAAAATATTTTTAAGTTCTTCGTTATTTAACCTCGAATTAGCTATTTTATTACTAGAAAAAAAGAAAGGAAACAAAAAATTGTAAACGTTTTTCAAAAAATCAAACTTAAATAGATACAATTTTTTAATTTCACTTATTAAAAAGAAAATATTTTTCAAAACTTTTAATTCGTATAAATAAAAAAACTTATAAATATAAAAAAAAATCAATAATAAGAGTAAAGCGAGTATTTGTGAAAAGACTAAAAATGAATTTTTATTACGTACCGAAACATTCTGCTCACGTTTAACTTTTAATAATCATTAGGAATTGATAAAACATTAATTCGCTATTATACTTTAGTTATACGCATCAACAATTTCAGAAAATTATTTTAATATGAAATTTGAACGTTACTGCGAAATATTACGAATACCAATTAAAAATAAATAAATAAATAAATATTTGAAATATAGAAATCAAATACATTTAATAAATACTTAGGATGAAATATTATTATATTTGTACCCATGATAGGTTTCGAATTAAAAATTCGTCATAAGGTATATATTTATTTATAATTAATTTAAGAGTATTAAAAATTTAATAATTTTTATTATTAAAAATGAATGCAATTTTAACGCTAACTTATATAAATAAAAGTACACAACCCACGAAAGTATAAAATGAAATTAAAAACCTATACATCAGTATCAATCAGTCATTTATATGACTTTTACGACTTTTTTTTTTTTAATTGTTTATTTGATTTGTACAATCTATACAAATGTAGTATAATAAGCATAATGGATAACAAAATAATAGAAAACAAAATTTAATAGAAGGGCTTGAGTGAAGGAGCCGCCCACTGGCGACACTTTGGCAATAAATAAATACAACTAATTGCTGGAATTCATACTTTTCTAAATAGCGATTATTTAACGCTATGGCAGGACGGTAAAAAAAAATTGTGAGTACAAAAATCCCACATTCTCACGGAGGGATATTCGAAAACAACAAGCAAAGGGTTTCTTTACTACATATAAAACAATTATTATATATTATATTTGTTGTAAGTATATATATGTTTTATATAAAATTGAAATAGGTACATATCACATAAATATAGGTACCCTTTGTTCGCCATGCTCCCCCTTCAAATGGAGAATAATATATTTATTGTCTGTAATGGTTGAAAATAGAAATGCTTTGAGTTTTTCTTAACATATTATAACGTCACCGATTACAATTTCATTTGGTCTATAAACACATCACTAACCAATACCATTTCTAACAATTTGGAAACAAGAAGCGTCCAACAAATCGCTCAAACAATTACACCAGTTGGATTGCTTTGCTTGAAAGCATAAAAAATAAACTAATCAGAAAACTCTTGTCTATTTTCATAATTATGGCCACACAAAAATAAACTTTTTGAAAAAAACCAATACGTTGTGTTTTTTTGTACACGGAAAAACGTAAAATATTTTCTAATTTAAATTTAACAGATGACGATTTTCAGCATCTTTCGTTTGCTAGTTTAGCAAAAATGTCCTTCGATTTGTCGAGAAAGACGTTTAATTAAAATTTGTCAACTACGTTCACGAAATAAACGCTCATAAAATTATCATTATTTTCAGTTATCCTCGATCAAAACGTGCATTACCTATGCAAACATGTATTGAAAATAATTTTACAGTGCTTTTCGTATAATCCGTTTACTATTAGCTACACGGTGATGGTCACTACTGGTATCGTATTTTACTTCATCGTCAGCAGGTTTCTCGTGTATTGTGATTCTACAAACATCATATTCCGCCCTGAACTGCCACACCAAGATATGAAAATCAAACATCCGATTCCGTCGTAAAACCATTTAAATCGTGCCGTTCCGGGACACGCGCATACGCACCGTTCGGGCGGTACACGCGCAGAGGGGAGGCGCATCGTTGAAATATCGCGCGTATTCGCCGCGACAACGGGGATAATTGTTGTTAGGGCTCACCTTGTTCTGACAATCCCTCGCGGCACAGCTTCGCGGATGAAACAGGATTCGCGCGAATCGTACGGGAAACACGAAAAACAGTATCACGGGGCGGTAGGCAAACGATAACGCTGAAAAATACCGGACGGAACTATATATATATCGCACGCGCGAGCGCAAGAACGGCACGACGACGGACCGACACGGCAACCGGTCCCGCACGTAACTGCTCGACGGTCCGCGGTCGGCGGCGGTGCCGGGAGTCGGATGAATCGGTTTCGCCGCCACTGCACTGCTCGTCGACGGTGGGTCGTTCGTCTCTTGGGTGCCACTTCAGCCAACCGAACCGGTGCGCGCGGCGGTTATCTCGCGCCCGCGTAGGGACACGGTCGTGCCAACGCACCGGACGCCGCCATCCCTTACGCCCTAGTTGGCACCACTGACTCGGTGGCTGCGCGCCGCGTGTTCCGCGGGGGAACCCGGTTGCTCTCCGGACCAGAATGATCAGCTGCAGCCGTTCGGTACGCACTGTGACGCGACCGTGACCTTGACTCGGTGTTACCGCGGAAGAATGGGAAAATATTACTATATACGTTCGAAATCGTAATAATACGTTTTCAGCTGCAGAGGTATGTGCGCACCGCAATGCAGAGTCAATCGCGTCTAAATATAGAAAATACGGATTGGATTGTTGCGAACCGAATTCCTGGAAATCTGGAATTCGGTTTTCTCGGAGGTATTTCTTGTGCTCATATCTCGTGACACGTAAAAACTTATGAAATTGACTACCAAATAAGAATCTATACTTGGCTTCAAACAAACGTCTACGTTACGATCGAATAGGTATCACGATTAATAGCAATAGTACGGTAATAGTAATTCATTTTCGGAGAGGAGCAAAAGTTGGTACTCATCGGACGACTTATGCAAATGCGAATCCCTGGCAAAAAATGTTTCCAGAAAAATAATTACAGGTGAATAGAGCTATTGGGAGAATATAATTAAAAAATAATTATGGTACAATTGTTTTCAATCGATAATATTATTTTTTTGTGCGCGGAAGACAGATGGAATAACAACTAACCCGTGCATATTTTATTTTACGTACCTATTCAAATTTGACTTGGTGTAAAACCAGAAACTTTGGCTGTTTCTTTCATTTCAGGTTTAGATTTTACGGTTTTGGTATTAATTTGATCGGATGCATTGTTATGTTCGAGATGAATACCGAAGACTTTGTTATTAAATTGTTTTTTAAACAGTTGGACGCTTAAAACAATTATTTTTCATGCATTTCCGCCGAATAAACTGATAACATTCTTTGTATTTTATATGCATACATAAAACCGTTTAAAGTGATTTTTCGATATTTTTATTCGATTGCAATATTTCCATCGTTGTGCGCAAAACGAATTACGCGAATAATCGATTGAACGCAGAGTGATGACGTAAAAAAAATGATCACATCAATATCCTCAATTTTATAGATCGACAAATTATGTTATTTTACAAATGCATATAATCGTTTTTTCAGATAAATATAGTATAACCCTACCCGTATCTATTAAATAAAATTAAAAATATTATTTTTATTACGTTTATTTCCAACGTAGCCACTTCACAGAAAATACTACAAAAAAAATACTTACAAAAAAAATATTTATGAATTTTTATGGGTTCCCGACAATTTTACGACGACGTCGAATTATAAATTATTATTAATATTTTTGCAGATTTCGACAGAAGACAGAACGTCGCCGTCGTCACATAGATATATACGTATATTTCGTAATATAAACACCATGATTGCACTTTCAGCCACGGAGGACTCATAAATAATTCTCCTTGACGGAAATTAATATGCACCATGCACACAATATTATACGCGCGCCCGGGAGGCAATCTTAACGACCGTAGCCTGGTGATCGTTTAGCGAAATTTTCTATGGAAGACAAAAAAAAAAACATTTAAAAAAAATAATTACTCCATTCTTTGTCAAGCTTAAACATTTGACGTACTACTTATACGTGAAACCCGAAAACGGTGTTCCAATGTACATATAGTCATGGACGACAACACCAATTTAGTAAGAGTATTCGACGGTCAAAAGATATTTCGTAAATTTTTTTTTTCATTTGTACCCAAAAATGTCGACAAATATTTGCTTTTGCTTTCGTCTGTTTCCACGGAATTAAAATATTCTATTAACCGAAAATATTAACAACAACGTCCGGTAAATCCCTTTTTTTTATTAACGATTGAAAGGAAGACTCGCTATTTTGTTTACACGTAAATTAAACGTTCTATTTTATTTCTAAAAATATAAACTGGAAACCATCGATTTTCAAAAATGTATTTACATATACACAGCATATATATATGTTCTAAAACATCTGTTTCGGTGTCCGTGCGCACGTATAAAAGACATGGTTTGAAAAATATCCCTTTATGTATTGTTACCGAACAAAATAAACAGATCTCAAAAGTACCCTATTTTAATCCGAATTACAGACGGTGCAGTGGTCGTGCTGGGACATACCGATATAAATTATGCAAATCAAAACTATTTTAAATACTCGGTATTATATGGTACAACGTTTCTGAGGACGTAGAGTTTTGTGTCAACTGATCGTCAGTTGTGCAGCTCTGCCTATAGGTAGACGTCGCATTACGTAATTCAATGAACGCCGCCCTCAAATTTTGTCGGAATTATTTATAATCGCCCCATAATTCTAAGGGAGCGGGAGAGGGGGTGTGTGAGAGAGAGATCGCTGCTGAGTACCCAAATCGCAGTTATGGCGTCGTACGTACATATTATATGTGTTTTATACACCCAGTATCTTTCTATGTAAGCTACACAATGTAAGCACAACGCGTATACAAGAAAATCCAATGTAACCGTATGTAATATGTATACATAAATACAATACAATTCTGAGAACAAATAAGTTATTGAATTGATACGTTGAATTAATGTTTTTGACGTCAACGACACTGCGTATAAGCCTCCAAGCAACGACCAATGTAAAATATATATCACGTTTTTCGTTTTTCTTTTTTTTTTTTTATGATTAAAAGAAAATAACAACAATTAGTGTTTGTAGTCTGAAATATTAATTTTGTTGTGAGTACCTGTATATAATACATTGAGCCGGTCCTACATGCAGGGCCGACGAGAGGATGGGGCAGAGAGGGCTGGAGCCCCGGGACTCGTACCTCCGAAAGGGTCCGTCATCTCAGCCTTATATACACAATTATTTTATAATCACATTCGCTGTTGCATAAGCTGCAAATTTAAATATTTTTATTGTACTAAGGTATGTACAAGTAAGTAGTATGAGTATCTTGGCCAATCAAGTGTAAGTATGGAGGGCTAGGAACCGATAGACCCCGGGGCCCTCAAAAGTTCTCAGTTGCCCTGCCAACATGACTCGTGTACTTGGCGAGCATCGCAATTTCGACTTAACAGTTATATTGCTCTTTACACAACCCATAACACTTGCTGATCAATAAACGCGATTATTTATAATTTTTTTGACTCGTGTCACGTCCACTGACAACCAATGGGAAACAACGAATGACTCGACGAGTATAAATAATCACCATACTTGACGATTAAACACATCCTACATGGCAAAGCATTACGATTAATGATTATTCACCGCATAGGTGTTACTAAGGGGTATCGAAGGATATCTTTGCTACCCCGGAAATTGTTATGGGGTAGCAAGGGTATCTTTTTGCTCTCCCAAAAAAAGTTTTAGATTTTAAAAATATATTCGAAGTTTATTATTTAAGTGTATACGAACATAACAATAATAATTAATAATTTAATCACAAAATGTGTGGTTTTAAAATGGTAAATATATAACTTTTCGTCTATCTCAGAAAATGTACTAAAAAATAAATATTAAATTATATAATTTGTTTAAATCATATAGAAACTACAAATATGAAAACTAAAATTTCTATAATTTATTATTCGGTAGAATATATTATAACATATATCGGTAACATATATTATATTACTTATAACTTATTTTTATTTTATTTTTTTTTAAATATATTTTATTCTTCAAAACGTAACAAAATCAATGTAGTATTAATTATAATAAAAAAAAATGTTTAAGATTTTTTTCAAAATAAATTATATTCACGTACCTTACTTTATTATTAATATAAAAATGAAATTTTAAAAATTCATCTGGATTTTCATGCTATAAAGTTATAAAAATATATTTTATAGTATTATAAAAAATTTATAACTTATTTTGTAATTCACAAAAGTGAATATTTTAACATTAAAATTGTCTGTTACTCTTTAAAATGAACTATTAGTGAACTATCAAACCAATTAATATATTTTGTTGCTATATTTTTTATCAAAGTATTTATGATGTATATAAATATATTTCATCAACTGTAATTAGAAACTATACGAAATAGATAATAATTGTTTTATTAATTAGTTTTTTAGAAACATAACACACACTTTGTTTACATTGCTATTTAAATTATATTAATACATAAAGGTTTTGAATAGATTTATAAATGTATTATTTAAATTAACAATTTTCTATTGGCATATTTTTAATTTCAATCAATACTTAGATGTATATTTTTACCTTTCATCAAAATTATAGCTCCTTCATAATGTAGACTCTTGTTAACCCAGACATTAAACACCTCATTTACCAAATTATTGGTTTTCGGTTTTCTCAGACGATTTGATCTAAAAGTGAGCTATTGAATTTTAGCTTACTGACGCTGATCAGTATAGTCGCAATGAACACAAATATGATATCAGCCAATACGAGCAAATTATAAGGTAAAACTAAACAAACACAAAAAACTACATGCCACTACACTCTGTAGAACATAGGTATAAATAACATATTATGTATCTTCTATATGCACTGAGTAGGAAGGTATATTGTTACGTATATGGATATCATCGTAAACAATACTCAAATACTTAAAATAGTATTGTATTTCATCATAATTATCTCATCTTCCTTTTAGTTAATCTCAATTAAATCCCTTGTAATATAATAAAAGTATGCTTGGATTATTTATCATTACTTGCATTTTAGGTTTATTAAAAGTATTTAATACAAAAAAGACAACACATCCTAGTTGACTTATCCTTAATTGCATGAATTGCAGTATATTATTAACAAGTGAAATATTTGCTTTTACTGACTATAATTCATTCACATAAGTTTATCGAAGCAGTGATATTTTTGTTTACCTGACCCTTAGAGTCCAGATTTTCCATTTTTTTTTACACAATAT